ATTCAATTTTTGCTCAGGGCAACAAAAAGGAGGGTAAAACGACAGAGAGAATAGAACAGTCTCGAATCAGTTCAGTGCTGGTTTCTGATCTGTGGGTGCTAGTGAAAATACCTATGGTATATGGTGAGAAAGGGCCTGCCTTCCTAATTATTTTTTTTCCCCTCCTTTTTCCTTTAAGGGTTTAATTAACTTAGGCACGAGAATAAAAGGCATGAGACAAGAAGGAATTCTAAACAAAAAGTAATCCCCTTTTAAGTCCTCTGACTTAAGAGACTACCTAGAAAAGTGAAGGAGATGGCCTCTTCTCCCTCCCCCTGCACCCACACAAATTTTTCCATAGTAGGCTTTCTATATAAGGCCAGTATGGAGAGAAGAAAGAATTTTTGTTGTTGTTTATCACTAGCAGCTAGCTGTCACAGCTAATCAATACAAACAACCCGTAATCAATCTAGCCCCAATTTAGGGGAAGAACTGAGCTTTCAATCATTTCATATAGTCAAAAACAGCCAAAGCAATTGGATTCTGTGATGGCAGAAGACTGAATTTCTTATCAGGATCAGACAAGATAGTTTTCCTGCCTTCCAGAATGATGTAGAAACTATAGTGTCCTGTTTTATAGATTATGATTATTTTAAAAGCTTATACAGTCTTCCTCTCTGCTTATTTCTGTGTGTTATAGGAAAACAGAAGGATTATGGATCTTTGTATGGAGTTCCCCATATGAAGCTTCCTGGTACTGCTGCTAATTTGTTATGTGAAGGGCTTTTTTCCTATTATTAGGTGAAGAATAAGTAAAATAACTCTTTTAAAACTTTACTGCAAAATTAGGTATAATTCCATAAAGCACTCTTTTTAAAAGAGAACTGATGTACATAACTCAGGTAATTTAGAGGTTACTGTGGGGTTTTCTTTTCCCGCAATGATTTGTCCTGAATATCTGGATCTCAGTTTCTGCTTTAAGACTGCAAAGGAAGGTAACGTTCTCCATTAAAAAAAAAAAAAATCTTTTTGGTATGGGTATCTCAATTTTTAATTCATATCTTTTTCCAGCCATGAAGCTTCCGTATTATTTTTGTATCAGTTTTCTCTCTTGCACTTAGATGAGCTGGTGGAGGAGATGTTAGCATACAAAGTAAATGCAGCAAGAAATGCAGTGTTCTGTGGTGTGGGGGGGTAGAGCTGTTGAGTCCAATATCAGAACTTTTTAACCAATTTTCTCTTTGAATTGGAAACCAATGAGACTGATTGGTTGTACAAAGGTAAATTTGATTTATTTTATTTATTTGTTTTGAAACTGGTTCAATCTCAACAGTAGTTGTTCTTAAAGTCCCTTCAGTGGTTGGTGCCCTGGGAGTGGGTGGCTCTAGGCAGCCTGAAGGCTCACTTGCTCGCAACAGAATTATTTTAATTTTTGTGGTGGAAATCCTAAGGCATAGAGCAGTTCTGTGCCTGGGGTCATGGAGCAAATAATCAGCAGAAATGGGAGCAGAATAAAGAGCTCCAGACTCAAGCATGTGTTTCAACCACTAAATCATTTCTCCTGCAGGAAGCCAAGAAAAGTTTGGTCCTTCCATTTGGTACCGAATCTGTATTCTCCCTGGCCTCCCTACTCTCATACAGCCTTGCTACTACATACCGTCAGCATTCATACACCTCCATACCCCTGTCACCTTTATCCGCTCCTCCTTCCACGTGGTAACTGGGGCCTTCTCCTTTGCAGCACCTGACTGCCCCTACTGCTCTCCACCTGTAGCGGTGCAAGGTGATGCCATTAGGATGCTTTGCCTTTCTTTGAATCCCTGGGTCGGCTCCCTTTTCTGCCACGGTCAGACAGATGTTTCTTTTCTATCAGCCCTTCATAACCCTTGTACTTGCCTCTCTCTATTATCCCCCCCCTCCCCCCTGCTCAGTGACACGACTCTCATTTGAAGCTTGCTTGGATTCTCACATATATGCCATCTCATCTCTTATATCTCTATCCTGTAAATACTCAGATCCCTCCCGGTGAGCTACTCTGCTGGATACTTACGAGGCTGCAAAAATTCAGAGAGAATCTAGAGACAATTTTTGGTTTGTTTCTTTTTCTTGTCTTAAATTTATTATCTTATTAGGGCCACTTTTTTTTTCCCCTACCCTGTTCTTCTCCTTTATCTTTTTCTCTGTGTTTTTGACTTCTAAGTTTATTATTTTTTAGCTCCTGGCCTCTGCTGGTCTTTCCGATCCTCCTTTCATTTGGAAGCAGCACCCCCTTGCAGTTAAATTATACTGCAATACAATAATAAAACCAGCTCCTGTGACTTCTTGAAAATATAAAGGTTTGAAAATTGACAGGCAGTCTGAATTTGTAGTTCAAGGGTGAATGAATATACCGCAAGTACATTTGAACTTCATTTTTTCCTCAAAGAATGGCGGTGAGAAGAGATGTGCTATAACTCAGGCTGAAGCTAAAAACATGAAGTGCCTGCAGGAAGTATTTGTAAATATTCCTCATTTCCAGTCAGCTTTGAAACCCCGAGTCATTCAGGGCTCCTGGAGCCCCCGACTGACTGTCACTAATCTTTCTAGCCTTTGTCTCCAAATAACTTGAACTCTCCTACTCTGGTTTCCTTTAAACTGGAGCCCTTAATGCTCCCCCTGGATCATATGTAGTGCATTTTCCTTATCTGCTTGAGATGCTGTCTAGGTGCAACCTTCTACTCAGTGCTTCAACTGGTCTGTGTAGTGTGGTTTTTTTTCCCCTGCCACCTGTACCCTTAAAAAGACCAAATGCTTCTGTAATTATTCATTCTTTTAAATTATTCATTCTTTTAAAAGATTAATGTAAAGGCAGTGTGTGTTTGTCTCTGCATCTGCTTTCTGTATGTCTGTGTATATATATGTATATATATTTTAAAAAAGTGGATGAGGTGTACCAGCAACACCGTACGTAGAAGGAAAGTAAGTCAAGCGGCTTGACTGTTTGCTTTCTGTCCCCATGCTACCGTTCCTGTAGAAATGCTTGCTTGGGTACGTGGCACCAAGGCGTCACTCTGTAGTTGCTTGTTCTTTGGAAACTAATGGTGTCCTGGTTTCGGCAGGGATAGAGTTAATTTCCTTCCTAGTTGTGTTTTGGATTTAGGATGGGAACAATGTTGATAACACACCGATGTTTTAGTTGTTGCTAGGTAGTGTTTACACTAGTCAAGGCCTTTTCAGTTTCTCCTGCTCTACCAACTGAGAAGGCTCGAGGTGCACAAGAAGCTGGGAGGGGGCACGGCCAGGACAGCTGACCCAAACTGGCCAACGGGATATTCCATACCATGGGACGTCATGCTCAGTATATAAAGCTGGGGGAAGAAGAAGGAAGGGGGGGACGTTTGGAGTGATGGCGTTTTGTCTTCCCAAGTAACCATTATGCGTGATGGACCCCTGCTTTCCTGGAGATGGCTGAACACCTGCCTGCCGATGGGAAGGCGTGAATGAATTCCTTGTTTTGCTTTGCTTGAGTGCACGGCTTTTGCTTTCCCTATTAAACTGTCTTTATCTCAACCCACGAGTTTTCTCACTTTTACCCTTCCAATTCTCTCCCCCATCCCACTGCGGGGGGAGTGAGCAAGCAGCTGCGTGGTGCTCAGTTGCCAGCTGGGGTTAAACCATGACAAATGGTCACTATTGCAGTTGGGTCTTTTAAATCAAGCGTTGACTGTGTGCTATTGTGGTTAACATCCAAGGACTAAAATTCACTAGTAACTTGCACAAAGGGGAATTATGAGAAGACTATGCCTGGTCAAGCACAGCACAGCACCTGATTTTTTTTTTTGTATGTTCAACAGAATAATTTCTGGAGACCAGTACTCATAAAGATAAATAATTAGCATGAGGCTTCAACCATGAAGCTCACTTGACATAATCAAGCTCTTAATAACCTGTGGTCCCTAATAAACCTGGTGAACTGAAATTCTTACAGACATCAAAGTGTTACACTGCCTGTGGAGAAAAATGGCTTAAAAGGGCTGAGTTGAGGAGTATATGAGATCTGACTTTGCTGTGCTGTCAGGCATATTATTTTATTTGATTTACCACATGCTTTTTAAAAATAAACCATATCTTGCCATATCTGTTGAGCACTAGAAAGGTACTTTCCAATTCTTTTATATTCAACAATTTTTAGAAATCTGGACACCATTATTAGATACAGCGCTCTGGGAATGTCTCAGTAACGATATGTCATGGCAATAAGATTTTTTGTTTGATATTCTGCCATGAACTCATTGAAGGATTGCATTTGCTCCCATTTGCATTGTCCTAGCATCTTATTTGTACTTGGCTATTCTTTATCTTGTGGTTTTTGAATTCTTAAGCTTACCTGTGATACACATTCTTGATTCCTGATACCATTTTGCATTGAACTGTATTCCACATCATTTTTTACCAAAGCTGAACATATTGTGCAATATGAGATTTCTTGGGAAATAACTGTCAGTTTGCTTCTGCATCACCTACAAGGCTTACAACCACTGCATTTCTATCCTTTTCTGTAGGATTCATAAAGATAATGAAAGTACTATTTCAAGAATAGATTTCCAAGGGAACTTCTTTAGAACAGCCTTGATTCAGTTATACTTCGACATTTTCCATTTCCGTTTTTTTGTTAATCTATCAATTAACTGTTTATTAATGAATGCAATAATAACAATTTCAGTCAGCATTTATTACAGTGCAAAAGTTATTGTTGTACGAGACCAGATTTATGAACACATTAAGACACTTATCTCCACGATAAACACTAATTCTGAATCGGAAAAGCTCTGAAATTAAGGCTGAATGGGTATTCTTTACTGATTAAAACAACTCTTGGAAGCTAAGTGATTTTCTTCAAAGCTTATTTCTTCCAGGATAAGAACAGTGAAATTTCCACTGATTGAGGGTAAAAGTAAATTAGAATGCCCTATTCTGAATTAGCTTAGCTCAAAATCAAACTTCATTTATGGCTTTTATTAAACTAAAAAATAATTAAAAAAAAAATTGCTGAGAACGAAAAATATCTTTGGGAAGATATTCACAGAGCAAGAAGCTTCAAGAGCCCAGCGAGCCCTCACTGTCTCTTTCAGGAGTGGTTCGGTTACAAACTCAAAAGACCCTGCCAAAGTGAGCGGCAGATGCAGATACCAGGTCCACACTTACCAAAGAGCAGCAATGACTACGTAAAACGCTCCACACACAGCCAAGTCAATAGGAATAGGAGAGCAAAGATGCAAAGGGAAGAACTTGTGTATTTGAAGTTGGGGAGACAGAAAGGAAAGGAAAAGAACAGCCCCCCAAAATGAGGGAGGAAGGGGGGGAGAAGAAAAAAAAAAATCAGCTACAACCTGAAAAACCGAAGTTGGAGGAAGTAAACCTCCCTCCGAAAATCATGAGGGCTTGCCCTGAAGCCGGGAGGGGCAGCTCTCCAGTTTGCAATAGACCGTGTTGGAGTTCTTGCATCGGCAACCTGTATGATTGATGTGGTCGTAACACCCTCGACAGAGTTTTAGGCATCCTTTTGCAGGAGGGTAGCAAAGCAAGCAAGGCAGAAACAAGGACATCGCTCCCATGTGCAGGTACCTAGAACAGCAGTGTGACTGGGAACAAGTGCAAGGATTATCCGTGTAAGAGTCCCCTTCATCGTCGTTAGAACAGTGGTAGAAGATCCCTTTGACCAAACACATGCAGGTGCCGTACTCCACCATGCTCTCTGCAGAGCACAAGCACTGCTGGTTGCAGGCCAAGCAAGAAGGGAGGGCCCTCGGGGCCGTGCACTCACTGCACTTGCACTTCCCACACTGTTCGCAGATAAACTTGTGCTGCGTCAAGTCCTCTTTTAAAGGACTCTTCAGATCATCTACAATCAGAGACGACTGCTTGGGCTGCGTCCGGATTGTCCGATCGGATCTGTGGCCCGAGCCCGGCCTGGATGGAGGTGACCGTCCCAGCAGTCCTTGCTCTGAGGAAGCACTGCTGTTGCTCCCAGAGCTAGCCATGCTCCCCGTGCTGGTTGACCTGCTCAAGACGGGAGCCCTCGCATTATGCTGATGTGCCACGTGGCCCACGTGACTGGGTCTGTGTTCATAATTATTATTCACATTAATTGCTATAATTTCATGAGTCCTTTCATACTTCTCTTGCCTTGGCGCTGTCTGCGGCCCAGGTTTTTTCACCACAGATGGGCTTTCGGTGTACTCATTGCTGCCCCTGATCACCTTGATCTGGTCCAGTGACAAGATAGTTGTTGGCTGGCTCTCTCTTTCATAGTCCAACCGTTGCCAGCTGTCCAAGGAGGGCTGCTGAATCACCACTAGTGAACCACCACTGCCATGGAGCCCACTCTGGGGCTCCATCTGTAGTGATCTCTACTTCTGGCATTCATTGGGAACCTGGCATGCATCTGAAATCCTAAGGCCAAGGTGAATGCCTGCTTCCCGAGGCACATTGGTGGCCCCGGCACGGAGTCCAGCCAGGGCAGTGTAGGCAGCTGCGCCGTCCCGCCGCCCGCTCTGCACTGTCCCACCGCTGTTCCAGAGTGTCTATGGGACTGGATGGGATCCACCCGAGAGTGCTGAGGGAGCTGGCGGAGGAGCTCGCCAAGCTGCTCTCCATCATCTATCAGCAGTCCTGGGTAACGGGAGCGG